CGTATGAGTTCAGCAAGTTGTTTGCTCTGATACTTTTGCTTCAGCTTATGTTTTTATATCTTTTGTCCATTAGTCTTTATTGGCTGATGACTTTCGGCACAGATTGCTGACCTGGCTTTATATAGTACGTTAGATGGGGTTTAGGATGGGTAATAAATCGACGGTCAATGAGAGCGATGACTTATGAAAAAGCCACCTCGTCGTCCATACAGAGAGCCACGTGGTAGAATCTTATTGGATACTCAGATATGTTGCGGATTGCTGAGCTGTAACCAAATATTGCCCTGTTTTAAACGATTATGACGCCATATTTGTCAATTTCAGGGTACCCATTTTTACTTTTAAAAATAAAATTGATGTTTAATCTGATAAGTTTGCAATATGTTAGCAAAAATTATTACCCAAAATGCCTAGACGACTATTAATTTCAATAATCCTCGACGTACATTAAAGAATAGGGATTTAAAGTTAATATGGGCTTCTTCACGTGTTAAGGATGGTTGGATTTGAACCACTCAACTCGAACTAATATAACGAGTATTCTTATATCGGCGTACTTGTCCTAATTCATGTGGTTATTAGTGTTAAATGTTTTCCCCATATATCTACGTGTTAATGCATATAATTAATGTATGTGTTGATTATTACATGCTCGTTATGAATGTGTTATAAGAGGTTCTATATTGGGATAGTTCTGTTCCACGAACCGATGATCAACTAACATTTGAATACTACTAGTCGTCCACGACTTACCATATTGAATACAACTCTTTGTAAAAAAGTATTTACATTTTTTCTTAACACCAATCGAGAAAAATATTACAAAACACCCGGTAGAAACTACTATTATACTTTTTATTAATGTCAATGAAGAAAATATTACAACACACTCCATAGAAACTACTATTGTTCTCTGTGATTAATATTTCTTTGGATGGAAACGTAGATAGGATAGAGACATTCTACTTTTAAAATATCTAAATCTTTTTCCTTTTTCTAAAATATTGAGACAATATCTCAATATTTTTATTCATAAAATATCTAAATCATTTTAAAACTATTCTGTCTATTAAGCTAATGATGATATTTTAACATTCTACACAGATGCACGCTAGATTAGACTTAGACTTAGGTCACTCTTATTTGTATCATCGTTTTTATCATAGTGTGATAGATTTAATTGGTCAAAACCGAGTTCATTTATGTTAAATAAGATCAGCATAGTTAAAGAAGGCCTAAAATTTGAAAGTTGATTCACATCATCATTAAGAGAGAATTACTTACTAAGTATACTTGTAATGTTCTTCTTATGTTTACAAATAATATCTAAATTCGAATGCTCTCTTTTACGTTGATTCAGATTTTACTTGTTTTGGAAACTTAAATGTCTTACACATTTGGTAAATGGAAAGAAGTTCATCGTAATAAACCAGATAAAGGATCGGCATATACATATCATACTCATCTAACTGTTAATAATTCACAGAATCAAATGGAACATCAAGAGGAACAAACCGAATCCCTAGCCCTAATTCCTCAATTTTCAATTTCAAATAAATCCTCCATAAACGATGAAATCAAAACGCCTCACATGAACTACAGAGCAATTAGGAACTAGTGAATTTCGTAACCGCCTTGGTACCTTCAGAAACGGCGTGCTTGGCCAATTCACCAGGAAGAACGAGCCTCACAGCCGTCTGAATCTCCCTGGAAGTGATGGTCGGCTTCTTGTTGTAGCGAGCCAACTTAGAAGACTCCTGAGCGAGTTTCTCGAAAATGTCGTTGATGAAGCTGTTCATGATTCCCATGGCCTTGCTGGAGATTCCGATGTCTGGATGAACTTGCTTCAGCACCTTGAAGATGTAGATCTTGTATGTCTCAATACTTTTCTTCGACCTCTTCTTCTTCTTGTCTCCGGCAGCCGCAGCGCCTTCCTTCGGCAGCTTCTTCCCAGCCTTTGGCTTCTTCTCCGCTGGGGCTTTCTCGGCTACGGCCTTCTTCTCCTCCACCGGCTTCTTCTCGGCGGGTTTCTTCTCGGCTTTTGGCGCCATTGGATGCTTAGAAGGTTTAAAGGATAAATTCGGTTGAAAGCTTAGGCAATTGGAATTGAAAATAAATCAATACAGTGTTTAGATCGTTGATGGATATTTATATCTCATCTATTTGATTTCTGATTGGCTGATGGTTGAAGCCACAGATTGCTGATGTGGCTAAATGGAATACGTCGGATAGCGTTAGGGTTTGTGATGAATCGACGGCCGAGAGAAGTCGTGGGAAGGGTGGACCTGAAGCCAAGTCGGAATTCGACGTGGGCGTCTTCCATTGGTTATTTTGGACTGTTGCGGATGGAGGACTTGTCACGAAATTTTTCGGCTGTGTAATCATCTTTTTTATGAAATAATTTTAATGGTCAGTTAAACTTATTATTTATTAATTTATATTAATAAAAATCTCTAATTATTCAAATTAATATATTTTTTATTTTTGTTCGACTTTCAAATATTTCAATAATGTATTTAAATTATTTTAAAACAAAAAAATATCTTTAATTCGAATGAAAAACATTAGTCTTTTATTTTAAAAGAGATTTTTTTTTGGTACTCGATAAAATACCACCACTCACACGTCTCTATATTGACAATTTGAATAAAATTATTTGTAATAATTATAAAATGAGTTATATTAATAGTTTTAATATGATAAAAGCACCCACCTTTAATTTCACAGTCTAACCTAATGTCAAGTTCAATCAAATTAATGAACTTTGCCGTCTAACCTCTTTATTTGAAGCTTTGTTAGGAAGCGGCCAAAACACAACAATAGACTTGCAACTCTCGTATGGGAAAAAGCTTCTTTTTGATAGCGGTCATAGGGTAAGGATCTGATCGTATCTCGAGACTGAAACTTGTGCGTGGGTAGGGGGGATGTAGCCAAGTGGATTGAGGCAGTGGTTGGATCTTATAATCGTTATAAATAATTTGATATAGATCATTTAAATGAAAGCATGTGAGCGAGATATGCAATAATATAGTCTATATAAAACAAAATCATAGGATATTTAATATCTCCTTATAGGTAAGTTAAGTTCGAAAATTAATATTTCGCAAAGATTCAATGACTCTATCTTAATCACGAGTGATATACTGTGATATTTTATTATAAATTATTTAATAATTCTTTTAATACATTATACATTTGAGTATATTATTTCAAACCATACATATATTCCCTTAAGTCATATAAATAGAATTTTAGGGTCCCAAGGGGTTGCCAGTTTTTTCTACCAATTGGGGCCCTCCCTTCACCACCCCATGGGGATGGTCTACACGGTTCATAACTATTCCTCTTACTACAGGACGCTTACCTAGCCAACATAGTTATCCCTGACAAATTCTCTCAATCTTAACAAACTCTCCCACGAGCCAATTTATTGGCGTTAAAGTCGTACTAAGGAAGATTCCGGAAGATTGAGTTATTATCATCTTAATCCCTAATAAAATTAAATCGGTTTCCAATGTTTTTGTTGCGAAAATGACTATTCATTTATTTCATATTCGATACTAAAAATCCTATCACGAACTCAGTTGAGTTAAGTTAAACCAAATGTAAGACTTTTCAGTGTATTTATAACTCATAGGAGTTAACCAAGTCTTATTTACGACCAATAACCTATGGTTTGAGTACTTACCAAGTATATTTTTATACTTTTTTCGTATTACTCTGTCTTTTCAAGCGGTGCCCGAGCTTTTTCGATCGATGACAAGTATATACTAGAGCTAAGAGCTACGAATACATACGTTGTTCGGTTTTTTCAGACACGTGTATTGACCCGATCAATAGAACACTATTTAAAAAAAGTCGCAAAATTAGTGTTTATTTAAAGAAGTTGATCAATTTATTTTTATCATTAATAAGGTAAGTAATAAAAAACAGAAACAATTGAAAATTACCTCAACAAATAATGAAAGACGTCAAATTCTAAATTCAGCGGGAAATTTGAAAATTTTCGATGAAAACCCCAAGGGATTCAAATCTCTATACTCGTTTCTCATTGGTCCATCTTAAAACGCCACGGATCGCCAAAAGAAATCGTTCACAACCGTCGATCAAGTAGAGCTCGTATCCGCCCAACGCATTGGCCGGTTCCCACTGCGGTATAAAACCTCGAACAACTTCCCTTGTTGAACCGAACGAAATCCGTTAGTTCTCTACACCACCGTCGATTAGAACACCGATAGTTCTCCAGCCGCCGTAAATCCTTCAACCACAATCCAATGGAGGTTAGCGCAAAGGCAAAGAAAGGCGCCGGAGGAAGAAGAGGAGGCGAGAAGAAGAAGTCGGTTTCTCGATCCGTCAAGGCAGGTCTTCAATTCCCCGTCGGCCGTATCGCTCGATATCTGAAGAAAGGGCGCTACTCTCAACGTGTTGGCACCGGCGCTCCTGTCTACTTGGCCGCCGTGATGGAGTATCTAGCCGCTGAAGTAAACTAGTCGTTCTTTTCTGATTCCTCTTGATCCTAATCAATAGAATCGCCATTGTACTGATCTTGTATTTCTCCGATTTACAGGTTCTTGAATTGGCTGGAAACGCTGCAAGAGACAACAAGAAGAACAGGATCATTCCTAGGCATGTGCTATTGGCGATCAGGAACGACGAGGAACTCGGAAAATTGCTCGCCGGCGTAACTATTGCTAGTGGTGGAGTTCTTCCAAATATCAATCCGATTCTGTTGCCGAAGAAGACAGATAAGGCTGTTAAAGAGCCGAAATCTCCATCAAAGGGCGGAAAGTCGCCGAGCAAGTCGTCTTAAACGGTGAATGAATCTGTAATTTAGGGTTCTATGTTTTGTGGTAAGCGTAGACGAAGATCTAGAAATTAATGTAATCGATATGTTTAATTTACCAATTTACCGGCGAGGAATCAACCTGATGACTTGTTTTGTTCTTACGTCTCTAGAATAATTATGGTTGGAATTACGTTAAACAAATCAAGATCGATCGAGGCGAAATATTCATGGAATTCATTGATCAAGAACAAAACAAATTTCAAATCTCAGTTTAAGTAAACTAATCTTCAATCCTCAATGCTGTTCTTGATCAATCCTTGAGAAATGTACCTGTTGCAAAATTTATATTTGTTTTCTTAGTAAATTATACTTGAAAAAAGAAAAAAAAAATCCAGAAAAGATTAAATGCACTAACCTCCGTATTGCAGTAATTCAGCATTTAATCTCCATTGGTAAAAATATCGACCACCTTACTAAGATAAATAATTCACGACCTTTAATACAACTTAGATCCGTATATAATTTACAATTAATTCAAAAATTAATATGTTGAATCATCAAAAAAAAAAAATAAATAAATAAATTGCATGATTAAATTGAATAAGCTAAGAACAATGAGTGGTTTAAGTAAGAATAAAATATGTTAAAAGAAGGTAACTAATAATTTTTACGTTTTGCATAAAAAAATATTAAATCGGTAGAATGTTAAATAAAGATTCTAAATCTTGATTCGGACTCGTGAGAGTTATCATAAATGAATATATATATATATATAATTTTTTTAGTTGATAATAGATAGATATATCCCGATGTTATTTAAAAAATGATATTTTTTTTAATAAAAAAACTGAAGTACATCTTATTTTATAAAACTTATATATAACAAGGAGGAGGGATAGTTCTTACTCGTGGCAAATGAAACTAAATCCTTGACGTCGGGTGCTGTCGTACTGAAAAAAAATAATATAGAGATTAAAAAGTTAAAACCATTTTAATTGAAAATTATGTAACAAATGAATTTAAAATTGAGATAAATTATAAAATAAATACTAAAAAAAAAAAAAAAGAAAGAAAAACTAACGTATTGTCGGAATCCAATGAAAGCGCCACATTTGACACAGTAAAGCTGTAGAAAAAGTGCAGGAGAAGGAAGATCTTGATTGGCTCCACCGTCATTTTCCACCAAATTCACCCTAAAAAAATAAAAAATAAAAAATATTAAGTATGATTAGCGTAAAATTAATGAGAATTAATGCATAATCAGTGGTGACTTACGTAGAAGAGAAGATGGAGCCTTGGGAGGGTGGCCAGAAAGGCTGGAGAAAATGGGGAAAAGAAAGAGGCAGCCATTGTTAGGGCTTGTTCAAGAACTGTAAAAAGAAATAAAGAAATAAAGAAATAAAGAAAATAAAAGAAAAGGGAAATTACGAAGGTGTCCTGGGTTATATTTTGGTGCAAGGCGATGTAAGTGTTGCAAAATTTGCAGGCCTTTAGAACTCCTTCTCTTGGATCGTGTTCAACAAGAAACAGCCTCCCCATTTCAATTCCCTCAAATCAAACACCACTAATTAATTACGCTTCATGCAACCCCCCACTTATATATACATAATATCAAATATGTTATAATTATATTAGATTTTTATTTTTATTTTATATTAATTAAGTTTTGAGCGTCCGCATATATTTTTTTATATTTAAGAATATGAATATAGTTTTGAGAGTCGGGATCACAGAATTAGGAGGCGGTTACTAAATAGATACAAATGGGGTAAATTCCTCTTTGATTAGGGAGCGACGTACGGAAAATGAAAAGAAAAAGCCCATTTTGAAACCATTAGTGTCACGTTCAAGATAACGAAGGAATTTCTAATGAGAAATTTAGGAATTCGGGTGAAGATTAGGAAAAAATAGCAGGGAATCCATGTGAAGTAGAAACTATAATCGGATAAGGAGAGATTTAATCAACTTCAGAGAAAAATTAAGGATTTCTGCCGAAAGCACTGTTGGATGATGAAAATCCCACATCGGCTAATTTAGGGTATGAGACCTCTTGGGAAGCCCAAATCAAAGCCATGAGAGCTTATGCTCAAAGTGGACAATGTCATGCCATTGTGGAGAGTCGTGTAATTCCCTCCTTCGCAAATTAGTAAAAAATTATTTTAACATTTTTTTTAATTCCAATAATGATTTAAAGAATATAAAAGAAAATAATATATTAGTAGTTTTAATATTAGTATAGGGAATAAATAAATACACTAGCGTTATTATATTTGGTATTAGTACAAGGATATTGAAATAAGGATATTGAAATAGGGAAGGAGCCCACGTCACCCAATTTGCTGAGGTGGCCAGCGCATAGACAACTAATTTTTCCTTTCGGTATCAATTATGCTTGGGAATCCAACACGGTCACAAAACCAGCTACCCACGTGGCATGAAAGAAAGTTTAAGGAACACGTAAGACAGCTGTCTGTAAATGATTGGACACATAAATTTAATAACTATTTCATTTGGTTAAGGGGTAATTCCGTCATTTTAAGCCTTCCGCTTGGGAAAGGGAATAAAGTCCGAGAAAAAGGAGGTCTCTTTACAGGTGGAGAGCCGCTCGAATTTTTTTTTTCCTTTTTTGGCTAAAATCGCTGTCAATCATTCTCTAACATCCCACGCGCCACCGCAACCGCCTCGACGGTGACTCGGTTGACGGCTGTTCTCTCGTTTTCTGTCTCGGAATCGGTACATTTCTCTAGCATTTGCGGTTTTTCTGCCGTTCTGTCTCTTTTTCGTTGAGGTTTGTTGAGTTTGTGGTTGTTTTGTTTCATTGATGTTCTAGGTTATTGCAGAGGGGGATTTCTGTTGAATCGATTTGATTGGAATTGTTATGGCTGCTCCACCTGCAAGAGCTAGGGCGGATTATGATTATCTCATAAAGCTTCTGTTAATCGGCGATAGCGGTGCGTGATGTTCTTTTCGGATTCAAATAGAGCCTCATTTTCTAGTTTCTTCTTTGAGGTTATCCTATTATGGTCTGTTGATTGGAAAAATGCGATAATTATTGATTGAGAATGCTTGTTTTTCTTGGATCTGGACTGCTCTCTCGAATCTCTCAGTTTTTGTGGACGATAATTTCAGTTACGCTGAATTTGATTTGGTAATTGAGGACGCGTGTTGGTTGATTTGGTGTATTCCATGATGTAAATTTGAACATCTCTATTATATCGATGTATTGTTTTTGTATCTGTTTAACAGATTTGGTTCACATTGCAATGTTACCTAACGATTTCTTTCGTTTCTGTTCTTTTTTGTTGGTCATTTTTGCAGGAGTTGGTAAGAGTTGCCTTCTCTTACGTTTCTCAGATGGTTCCTTCACCACTAGTTTTATTACTACCATTGGGTGTGTATAATTTTCTATATGAATGTAAATACCCATGTCTTGTGGGATTATGAGATGGATTTATGCACTTAAAAAGTTTCCTTCTGAACTAACTAGGACATTTTCCCCTCCTGCAGTATTGATTTTAAAATCAGAACCATTGAGCTTGATGGAAAACGGATCAAGCTCCAAATTTGGGACACCGCTGGTCAGGAGCGGTTCCGTACGATCACCACAGGTATTCTTTTCTTACCTCCATGATCATGGACTTGTCTATTGCTTGAAGCTAGAATCATGATAGAATATGTTATATTTGAATGAATTTTGATTTGTCGCTATTCATTACTGGATTTCTTCCTAAATTGTAAATCTTTCGTGGAATGGCTAACTGTTTTACTTTTGCTATTTGAACTTGGAATTCAGTGTCCTGATATTGATTCTCTTTTCTTTGTTCCAAGATGTTGGAGTATTTTCTTTATCAGGATTTTTGTTTTTGCTGTAGCGTTAATTGTCAATGAGCAGAGTTTCTCAATAGTTCTGCTACCTGTTTGTTTTTTCAGCGTACTACCGCGGTGCCATGGGCATTTTGCTGGTCTACGATGTAACAGATGAATCATCTTTCAACAGTAAGTACCATTCTGCCATTTCTTTTTGCAGATTTTTCTTGTCACATTATATTTCGTTCTTGTATATTTGCATTTTGATCCAAAATATGATTTCATCTTTTCATTTATGATGCCTTGTCCTATGGATGTTTCATAGCTCCTTCCATTTCTCTATCATTTTGCCTTCTCACTCCTTATTCTCTAATGCTTTTCAGATATTCGAAATTGGATTCGTAATATCGAACAACATGCTTCTGATAATGTCAACAAGATACTGGTAGGAAACAAGGCCGACATGGACGAAAGCAAAAGGGTATGTTATTACTTCTATTCTGCTTATGAAAACTGAAAAGAAAGGCATCAACTTTAAATAGTTGTGCTACTAACCTTGTAGCATATATGATTTGGACCTCAGATAATATTGCCAAACTGATATCTAGGGGTATCTTTCTTGAAGAATCCTTGACTAAGATTATCTTTCTCTCAAGCCATGCCTGTTATCATTTCTTTTAACATCCTTATATTACAGGCTGTGCCTACATCCAAAGGACAAGCGCTTGCTGATGAGTATGGGATCAAATTCTTTGAAACTGTGAGTGAATGTTCTTCTTCCTGTGTAATTTTTCCATAATAGTTTGTGAATGAAAGCTGAAAATATTTGGTATTTGCATTACAGAGTGCGAAGACAAATCTTAATGTGGAAGAAGTTTTCTTTTCAATCGGAAGGGATATTAAGCAACGTCTCTCTGATACCGATTCAAAGTCTGAGGTATTTTATAATTCTTCTGCTATAGTTCACCCAAAAAACAAGAAATAACCAAAGCTCGAACTTTTTATTTTTTCATTGTGTATTACAATTATTCTTGATTAATGAACCGAAGACATGTGGTCTTTGTTACGTTTGCAGCCTTCGACGATCAAGATCAATCAAGACCAGGGAGCCAATGCTGGTCAGGCTGCACAAAAATCATCCTGCTGTGGTTCTTAAGATGGTCAAACCCTTTGAAGTAGTCATATATTGAAGTTGTCATACTTCATTGATGGGCGCATCTATTAGCTATTTTGTGATTCTTTTGAACTTCATTTAGTGTGTAATAGATAGATAGGTACTTTTCATGTCTAGAATTTCATTTGTGATAATGTCTATATTATAAAGAGATTTATTTGTTTCCTTTTCATTTTGGCTTTTTTCAGAAACAATGTTATCCCAATTATTTGTTTGCTACCGGATGGTTTGTATATATTCAACTATTTTGACTTTTAAGACGATGAACGTATCTCCGTAATGTAACTCATTTTCTCCTCTGTTATTCGAACTCCCAGCAGCATCAATGATATCTTTTTAAAAGGGCGGCTACTATAACTGATCTATCATCTCTGTAGATGCTATGATATCCGAACTCTCTGCATCAATGGATCATCTTTGCACTAGCCGATTTCGACATATATTCAAAATAATGCCTTTCAGCATCAATGGATCATCTTTGCACTAGCCGATTTCGACATATATTTAAAATAATGCCTTTCATCTCTTTTTTGCTAACGTTGCCTTAGACTAAACAAACATTTTTTACTATACAAACATTTTTTATAAGGTTGGGAAAAGCCCAAAGTAATTAAAACTCTGAATAGAAAGCCCAAAAAGGACAATACATGACTAGCCGTGAAAGCATCACTAAAGCAACAAAATTTCACGTAAGTAGAATCAAGTTTTCATTCTAAGCGATTTACAATTTACAATGAAGATGTAGTTTCCAACATAGAATGGTCACCACAAACCCTCCAAATAAGGTGTAAAATCTAAATTCTAGCCCCATTTCTTCACTGTACTTGATACATGACTGACTGCCTCTTTTCTTGGCAATGGCAAATACGAAATTGAATTTAAACCACCAAACCAATAAATCAGTTAGCAAGTAAAACCTGATTCTCTGCACAGTATCCACCTAATCTCGTCCTACATTTACAGAACTGGCAATGAACTCTACTGAAGGCTAAGTTCATCCTTCCCATATATGCGCTGAAGCTCACGGGTAGCTGCTTGAAACGATTCTGAAAAAATGAATACAAAACATATTTTTAAAGACTTAAAAGGGGAAAGAGTAAGAGTTGCATCTTTACCTTTCCAAATCCGAAAAGATTTCTGATTGATTGGTGCACCGAAGATGGTTTGAATTGTATCAAACAACAAGCTCTCCGGAGTGCTTCTTAGTTCTTGTACTATCTGGTAAATAGTTTTCCCATTCTCAAAGTATATATGATTATTTGGGTGTTTTGTTTTGCAGCCAGCATGCCGCTCAAACTCATACGCATTAAGCATCTTCCAAGGAAACACAAAGGGTGTGTTAGATCTGACTGAATTCATCTTCAACTCTTGCATCAATGACAAATTTTGATGACTTACCTTGGAAAAGTTGCAAGATTGGCATCCACAAAGATACCCAGATCGCCTTATAATTATTCCTTGAAGCCACTGATAAAATCAGTGAAGAGTATGAGCTAACGACACGGCAAGCCGAACTTAAAGTGTAAATAGTGTGAAGAAGAAAAGAAAGTTACCTCTCTAGCTACAGAAACATACTTCA